CAGCCCAGGGGCCCCCATCCTGACTCCAGCCCAGGGGCCCCCATCCTCCTAAATCCGGCCCTGCATACTGGAATACATTTGTGCAAAACATTGACTGGAAGAAGGTCTGGCTCTTACCCAACCGATGTTTGCTGACCACCAAAATTAAAGCAATATCATTTAAAAATAATTCATAAGTTTTACCCGTCTAATGATCATATTGTCAAAAAAATTTAAAAAAGACATTGAAGTATTGTGGGATGGGAGTCAGTATTAGTAACGATCACGTGATTGGGACGGTACAGGATTAAACACTAACGGTAGCAGACGGGAGCGGGAGCAAACCAATAATAACAAAAAAAAACTAAGATCGATGCCAAAAAATAAAATTAAATAGAAAGAAAAAAAATCCAGTACTGGCGCGGCGCCACCATTTTGTAGTTTTTTTCCTTGAAGCCTAAACTATAATGCGAGTCAAAAAAAACTACACGACCCAAAAACCATCATTGCTTCCGCTCTGAGTTTTTCTCCAGAGCTCAAAAAAACAAAAACAAAAACAAGAATGGGAGTGGGATGGGACAGGAGTGAAAATCCACTCCCGTCTCAGACTCTAGTCCAGTGGTCTCCAACCCTGGTCCTCAAGATCTACAGATTTTAGATGCATCCCTGCTTCAACACAGCTGAATCAAATGATTGATTACCTTTTCAAGTCATTCATTTGATCCTTTGTTCATAAAACAGTATATAAAAGTTCTCAGTCAACTGGCTCAAGTTAACCATAAAACAGACCTAAAATGGAGGCAACCAGATATTTGCTTAGTTTTTTAAAAATGTTTTAACACCTATTCAGCAATCCTTGTTAATTCTGGCAGCTAACCCTAGGTTGTAGTCTGTGATTACCTGAATGCTTTGCCACATCCTCCTGGCATCATGGAACAGATGCTGGATCTTCTGGTTCTTCTTCGCTGATCTGATGGCATGGTTCAAGTTGGCACGCACTGTTTTCAGATCTTCTCTATAACCAGACTTGAAAGCTGAGTTCAGTGCTTTTAGCGATTTTAGAACCTTCCCATTCATCCAGGGTTGCTGTTTGGCCTGGGTGGTGATGTTCTTTGTAATGCTGAAGTCTTCGATGCATTTGTTGATGTTGGCTGACACAGTCATGGCAAACTCATCTATATTTATCTTGTATTCATAGGTTGCTGCATCTTTTAACAGTCAGAGCATTCAAAATAGTCATGAAGTTTCTGCATGGCCCCCTCAGACCAAACTTGGATTCCCTTAACTGTTTGTTTAGCCCTGATTAGCTGGGGCCTGTATGCAGGAAATAGCATGACAGATAGGTGATCTGATGTCCCGAGGTGGGGGTGGGGGGCTGCTCTGAATGCATCTTTGATTTTAGGGTAAACCAAGTCTAAAGTGTTTTCACCCCGAGTTGCAAAGTCCACATATCAGGGGTTGACGTTAATGATTTTTACCTCAATCCTTCCTGCACATTCTTTTCAAACTGAACTTTGCTTTAAACTGTTGTGTGCTTGAAAAAATATAAATTGTAATGTTAAAAATAAAAATAAAAACTTGACGTTAAAAACTTAAGATAAATAACAAGACAGAAATCAATGTCACAAATGAATAACTTTTATTTTAGAGTCACGGTATGTTTATACAAGATAATACTATTAATATAATTTGACTTTTCTAGAGAATCATTATACAGTTATTTTATACAGGGTTTCCACAGTCTTACATAATTTCACATTTCCCTGACTTTTAACTGACTCAGGATTAGTTTTCACTGACAAAATAAATGCAGCCGTTTGTTGTTTTTGGTAACTACATCTAAAATACGGCTGGGTGGACAAAAATCACGCCATCTGGTGGAAAATCACCCGGCCTCAAATCAAGCGAGAATGTGTACAAAACAACAAAAATGGCGCCGGCAACGCTTGTGGGTCGTTTTCATCGAATGTTGGTGTTTTTAAAGTAATTTTGAGTGATAAATAATTTTTTTTTGCAATCTTTGCATTTGTACTCTCCCAACACTAAAAACTACTTTCCCTGGGAGATCGGTCGATGGTTAACATCGAGCCCTGCATGTTGGTTGAAATGAAGGACCCCAGTCTTAAGGTTAGCCTGGTTAAAATCCCCATCAATGATGAAAACACCCTCTGTGCGTGCAGATTGAAGCTCAGAGATATAGACTCTTCATGGTCTCTTTTGTATTAGCGCTGGGGGGCACATAAACAGCAGTAATGCCACGATGAATTGATTCAGTTACTCATCCACTGTTCTCCTGTTCGATTACTGCTTGCTTGTTTACTTGGCCATTGGAATCTTAATGATTGCTTCATAATTTATTTAGGATTAGTTTCAAGACACGGTTGTATGTGCTAAAACAGATAAAAAAGCAAGACTATTTTGTTATTTAACTTTCTGTAATTTTCACAACAAATAAGCTACAGTAGGATGAGTTTCAAGTTTTTTCCAAGCTGCCTTTGGCTATATGTTCACAATTTTTTCCACTCAAAAAAGACACAGTATATCAGGGTTTATTTATTGATTCATATATCAAGAAAAGGGCTACATTTTTAAATCATATTACTTCTTTTAAATTATTTAGGGTAAAACAAAAATATAGTTAACATGACACAACATTAATGAAAAAAATTTAAAGGTAAAAATATTTAAATACATGTTGATTCAGTTTAACTTAACTAAGTTTTAAACATAAAATGGAAAACAAGGTAGAAAGCACTGCAAATAAATTGTTTGCTTATTAAAGAATGACATGTCCCCAAAATTCACATGATCGGTATTTGTTATACATCTTTTGTGGGATGTTTGCTTTTTACTGAGCAGGCATAATTTTCTTTATTTCATCTCAGTACATTGAAATTTTTATTTCTTAAGGCTTTTAAATTTAAAATCCAAAAATATGCCATGATGATTCGATTCCAACTAGGCAAAAAAAGGCAACATATTGTACATACACATCCCTTGTCAGAAAAAAAGTTTTACATTTTTAAGCCGACTACTTGGATCCCATGTTTGGTTTAATGAGAAAACACCAAAATAAGGAAACCAAAAAAAAAAAACTCCAAAACAAATAAGCTACAATATGAAGTTAGATATACAGATGTTTGTAATGAATACATTTCAATAATCTTTAACTCAAGTATAACTCAATCACAACAGACATAACAAACCAAACAATCTAATGCTGAGCCAATAATTCTGCAAATACTTCAACAAAAGTTTTTTTTTTTTTTGTTTTTTATACTCTTAGGAAGCATCCAACTTTAGGGATGACATATATCAATGAACAGTTCCTTTTTCTCACAAACTACACATTTCATTTAAGCTTTCAATGGCTTCCGCCTTACTGAGATAATTCCACTCCTGAGGAATTTCTCCCTCACCCTGGAATTTTAAACGATAATATTTTTCCAGGTACTTTTGGAAGTGGCAGATAAACCATTTCCAGTATGCCAATGTAGAAGCATCAGCTGTGATGCTCCATGAAGCATATTTTCCTCCAGCAGTTGGAAACCATTTATAAGGAATGGCCAATTTTGAGTCAGATTTAGGATAAAACCTTGCATTACTTGCAACTAATGTAGTGCAGAAATCAACAACCAGTTCGACTGTTCCTGTATCATGCCAACCTATTACTCCAGAGGGTCGATGAAAAGGAACACTGTGTTTCTCAGGACTGTGATCCTTCAGAGTGTTGGTGCAAACAGCTGCACAGAAAGGACACCTTTTCCAGCAGCAGTTACATAGCTGATCAATGAGGATTTGTTCAGGCTTCTGCCTGCATTCATTCACTTTATTCAGGGACAGACTGTTAATTTCCTCTGTGATGATTTTCAGGCCTTTCTCTATCTCTTCTTTCAGAAAGTCAAAGTTGTTTATGTCACTGAAGTTTTGACAATTAATGGTTTCAAGTGTCAAGTTTGGCTCTAATACAATGGAAAACTCCTCTAACCAGTTTTTTATGTCCCCTTTCTTCTTTTGAAGTTTCTCTGTAGCCTCAAACAAAGCACGACTGATGAGCTTGTTGATGTCTTCTACATTTTTCCTGAGAATAGTCTGGGCTTCACTTTTCTGTCTTGTGAACATGTATTTATAAACCTCTTCTTTGATAAAGGCTTTTACTTGCCTTCTAGGGTTTCTGATGTAGGTGATGAAACTGTTAAAGTCCTCTTTTTTTGCCAGAGATGTCAAGACATGTTTCTCTAAGTTCAGTCTGTTGCCACTAAATGCTGGGAAATTGCACCTCATCTCTCCAGCAATATCAACCCCAGTCTTGTTACAAACGGCTTCAATAGCAGAGACTTTTAGTTTTTCACACATCATTTCTCCAAACACAACAACAGATGAGCTTCCTCTGCAAAAGCCTCTAAAGATGTTGTAATATTCCTGTTTTTTGCTTTCCAAATAGGTAATCACGTCATTGTTCTGCTTGAATATCTTATGAGAGTCTGAAAGCCAACTTGCTGCCCTGTCAAACACATACAGTGAAAGGTCAACTATAAACTCTTTCTTAAATGTAAATTTCCTTTCTGATTCAAACTCTGTCACTCTGTTTTTAATAGTTTTGGCAAGTTCCTGTAAGTAAGTTATGCTGTAACCTCTTGTTGAAACAGGTTTGGTCTTAATGATCTCCAGACAACTTTTATTAACTTCTTGGATGAATAATCTGATTGTTTCCTGTTCTTCATGCTGAACACGATTTAATTTACTTTCGTCCATTGATTCCTTTTGAAAGTACAGCAAAGCTCCTTTTATTTTCTGGAGAAATGAAGAGTTATCATTTTTGCTCACTGTTTTTGTTTTTTTCTTGCTCTCCTGAGATTGTTGACTTACTTTGGAGCAACTTATAGACTTCTTTTTTGTTATATAATCAGAGTAATCCCCAGTTTCTGACAGATTTTTGTATGCATTGCTTTTTTGTGACTCATTAATGAGCCCCGGTTCAAGACCTAGATCTAGAAGAACATCTAACTCATCATCCTGCAAGTTTATGTCCTCAACTGGTTTTGCATCTGGGTTTGATTCCTTTGCGAATTGAATCCAGACAGTGTTAAACTGTGCTTTTACTTCATCTTCATCCTTTGCTAAGGATTTTAATCCAACAGCAAGCTCTTTACTCTTCTGGAAGAGTTTGTTTTCAAACTCAGTTTTCTTTTTGTCAAGCTTTTTTCGAGCTTTATTCTGCCTGATAACGTCATCCAGTTTTCTTTTCACACCTCTCAAGAGTTCCTCATGAAACTCTCTAATTTTGTTCTCAAATCGGCCCTTCCACTGAACCAGCATTTCTCTGTCTTTGTCATTATCAAAGTAAGCTCCTATACTGTCTGTTACTGCTTTGTAAGTTTCTGTTATTTCATTGGAAAGGTAACTGAGCTCAACTTTGTCCAGCTGCCCCTTTTCAATTTTGGGATAAAGTTGGTTTTCAATATTCAGCATTTCACTTCTCAGGGTCCAAGTCCAGTTTCCATACTGGACCTCCAGTTTTCTGTAAACTGCAATTTCTTGTGTGTTTTTGAAACTAAAAACAAAGTTTTCATTCATCAAAGCATTCCACAGGTCCTGAATCTTTGTATTCAAATGTGACAGAAGGATCCCATCAGACAGTTTAGCCTTAGAGAGGATGATGGTCTTCAGTTCTTGGACACTCTCACTATACCCTGGATTTGGAGGAGCCATTGGTGGACTTCCCTCCCACAGCTGAGCAAAGTATTTTACATCGTTTTGCACATCAAATTCGATGACATCACTAAAGCTCTCAGCATCACATGCCTCCTCTTTTGCAGCTAGTTGAGCCATCTTGTCCAGTGTTTCCTGCAGGCGTCTTCTTCCATCCATGTTTTTCTCTGCTGCTGCGATATCTGTGACATTCTGGTGAACAAACACACAACTTGGAGAAAGCTTGACTTTCTTCATCCTCATGAAAGCTTGCACAACGATCTGCAAGACATCTTGCATCTCAGCTGGATTCTCACCAAAGATGTTGATCAGCGTCATGTTTCCCAGACCAACAACAAATGTTGCAAGTTCATTGTCATGATGAATGGTGTCATTGCCTGCTAACTCAAGAGCACGCAGTCCTTCAGTGTCAACAACTAGAATATAGTCAAACTTGTAGTCTTTCTGGATTTCATCTGACAGTTTAACCAGCTGCATGTAAGCACCCTTGGTGCACCTCCCAGCACTCACTGCAAACTGTAATCCAAACATGGCATTCAGCATTGTTGACTTTCCACTGCTTTGTACGCCTAGAACTGACAGTACAAATACTCGCTGGTCACCCAGTTTCTTGATGACTTCCTGTATTAGACTGGAGACCCATATTAAAGGCACATGACCTGCATCACCATCCATCAGCTCCATTGGGTGTCCTTTTATCATCAGATCTGCAGCCAGCTCAGGGTATTTAGTCCATTGGCCTGCTGATGATTTTTTGATAGATTTATGGGCTTCATAGATCTGCCCCATTTCTCTGAAGATGTGTTCCAGACCAAAAGTTGCTGATTGGAGCTTTTTTGATAAATGATTAAGCTGTGCTTGTTTGACATCGAAGTTAGCAGATTTGTTATGTTTCTTCTTTAGTTCCAAGACTTCTGACCATGTGTTATCATACTCTTGGAGAATTGAAGAAAGATCATCTGTAGAGAGGGCATCAATCAGGATCTGAGTCCATTTCAAGAAATATTCTCTGTCTTTTGGTGGCAAACGCCTGAGGCTCTCAGTGAATGACTTCATCAGTTCACTATTGGACAGGTCACACTGCTTCTGTCGCAGCTCCATCAGCCTCTGATTTTTCTGACCCTTTTCTTTTTCAATGTGTCCCTTTAGGTTGTGTGATTCTTTTTTGATTTTGCACCATTCGAACCAAGGCTGGCCTTGGCAGGGAAGAAATGTATCTTTTATTTTAGAAACATCCTTCCCTTCAATCAGTTGAACCAGTTTCATGGCAGCAGATTTCCCATTCCTGCAATCCTCTGCATCTTCATCTGCCGATACTCTGGAGTCGTTGGCCAAAGTTTCAAGTTGAAAAGCTGTGTGAGGTCCAGACAAAATGGCTCTTATAATCTCTTTCAGTTCTTCAGAAACATCTGACTGGCTTCTTTCTTTTAGACCCAGTTTGTATTTTTGTGATTTCACCTGAATTGCACTTGAGTCATTGTCAGCAATGAGAATAATCAGAGGCTTTGGGGACTTGTAAAGCTCTGAAATGATTTTGCTACTTTCCTGGCCTTCTTTCAAAGTTTCAACCAGAACAACGATGACTGAGGACTTTTCAGTCAATATTTCACACTGTTTTACATTTTTTAGTGAATCCCCATGAAGATTACAAAAGGCAATGCAGTCAGTAAAGAAATCATTTGGTTTTCCAGCAGGGCAGTACCAGGCAATCTCAGCCACACCATCCATCAAATGGCGAGATTTGGTGCTACCTGGACAGTTTCTATGGAAGAATGTGTTGTGGCGGTCATTGATTAAGACATTCATGAGCTGAGATTTGGACAAAGACATGGAGCCAAGTCGGAAAAATGAAACCATGGGAGTCTGAGCTTTGTAGATTGGCATGCTCTTCATTGTGACAGTGGTTGTATTCTCTTCTACTGTAGCTATTTTCCATGTTTTTGTTATTTGTCTGAATGTCCACAGGGGACACTCAATATTTGTTGTGTCAGGATCAGGGATAAGCAATGGTAAGGCATACTGACATTGGGACAGCTTGGTTATCATTTTCTGTTTAAGGAAGCCATCTGAGCAGCGAAATGCTGCCATTTGAACATCCATTGGATGTACATGACTTTCCTTTGACGGGTTTAAGTCTACACTTGCTGTGAAAAGAGCTGCTAAATCATTTTCATCTGTGACAGCAATTTCAGACCTTGAGATGGACTGTGAGCTTTTCTCATTAGAGTTTTTTTGCTGTACATGTATGTATCTAGCTCTGTAGTCTAACATCAATAACTTCTGAAAAAACATGCAAACTTTATCTTTTTCAAAAATCTCAGTCTGTTTTATAGATGGGCCTACTTTAACAAAGTCCTCTGAGGATAGCATCTGTTGATGTTGGTCCTGGAGGTGAAGTCTTCTGAGTAATGTTTCAATCTCTTTATGACTTTTCTTTCCGTTTTCCTCTGAAGGATTGTAGGAAGACTGTAAAAGCAATATCATAATTATTTATTGTTGCTAAAAAATAGAAAAATAAAAAGCTTTTACTAACCTTTGATTGATTAGACTAAAAGTTTAAAGATAACTAAAGTGTTAATATTGCATTAAGTAGTATTAACTACAATAGGGTACAAATTAATGATTAGACATTCTAGCAATATAAGTAAAACAAAGGCTCTTAAAGATACAATAAGAATTTCAGGGATTGACTGACATAAATTTAATATATTATACAATAGCATGTTAGCAATTATCATCTATGCACTGAAAGTCTTAACCTGTATGGTATGACAATGCAGAGACAGACTAGTAACTGTAGAGATCGACATTACACTTGAATGGGACTGTAGCATGTTAGGTCCATATAAAATGTTTATCCTACACAAACTAGTAAAATACTATTTATAAATCATCTATACAAAACATTTTCTTCTCTTCTTGTTCCATGTTTATTTTGGTCACAGTGCCCAAAACAGAGGCATGGATCATCTGGACATTAGAGGTAAGGTGAGCAATGTTCTGGAGTTCAGACAGCAGCAGTGGGAAATCAGCTCGAGAACAGCAGTTGAAAGATGAAGCGGTCAAATTAAATACCTCAACAATAAAGTATTTTAGCTGAGAATTTTTATTGTGCTGAGTAATTTCAGCTCATATTGTCACATTGAATATTTATTATTATTATACTTTTATTACTTATTCAAGTAGATTTTTCTTTCACAATTAGTAATACAATTTTGAGCACATTTGCATTCAATAAAATCTCTGCATTCTGTTTGAATTTTAAATATAAAATTTTTGGTTTAGATAATATTATAAAGAGATTGAGCAACAAATATTTAATTGTTGAAATGAATATGCTTTTCTGTCTTACCTTAGCCTTCTGTTTGGACTCAGCCATATCTCCTGTAGGATTATTTAGAAAAGAAATAGCAGTTCATATCTTATATAAAGCCAAAAGCTATGCAGAGCTCAATATTCATTCCATTCCTGGTAAAATTACTCTCATTCCCATATCCCTCCTGGTGAAAAGGACTCCTGCCACAGCAGAGGCCTATTTAACAAAAGCAGAATCCAGTCCAGGATTAGAGATAAAGCCAGGCTCCACCTAATGTGAGGATTGCATCCTTTCCAGGACCTATCCATCCTGGAAAGGTCAAGCCAGACTCCACAGGTGTGCCCACGTAGTTCTTTTGTCTGCATTAGTTTTGTATTCATTGAAGTGAATGGTAGGGTTCAAAAACGAAAAAGCCCTTACAAAAAATACACAAAGATAAAATAATGACTTCAAGAAAAATGTATACCAGAAACAAAGTGGATTAAAAAATCATTATGCATAAAAGCAAGAAAAAATAGTAAAAGCTGAAGTCAAAATATATACTATTAGACGATTAACTGAAATGTTTGAAAAAATGTCTCCTTTTTATTATTTTGTGGTATTCATATTTTTAGCTACTTTTTCAACCACGTTTTATATTATTGTCCATCACATATTTCTGTATTCATTTTTAAATATGGCAGGCTCGATCCTCAATAGTAGTTAACCCAAATCTTAATAAGCAGAGTAGATAATTCACTTGAAAATTTAATAGATGCTTTTTTGCATGTATTGTGACTCCATCAGTCCCACTCCAGCCCTGGAACGACATTACTGAATATGCACCACTTTTCTCCTTCACCTCTTCTCCTAAGTCCCTCACCCGCCTTTTCATAGAAAGCTAAAGATAGGTGGCTAAGGTTATGTAAAACTAAATTGCAGTAGATTTTTTTGCTATAAAACTTTAGATCTTAATTTCAACGGACTTTAACATTCATTCTTTATTCATTATACAGGATTAATATATTGGAGTATTAGAGCGAGATTAAAATTAAATAAATAATGACAATAAAATGGTAAGGTCACAAGTTTATTCTCGCAAAATTATGAGATAAAAGTAATACTATTACACCTTTATTCTCATAATATTATGAGAATAAAGCTGTAACATTATGAGAATCAAGTTATGATAAAATAGAGTCATCTAATTATTATCCCTTTCGGAAAAAAATCATTGAACGATCCTATCAGCACAGTCAAGCTACCAAATAGCAATCTGAGCTTCTCTTGTGAAATGTAATAACCTAATAATTTGGGGCTGATGGGGTAAAAAGTTCAAGATTTCCTCATTTCCAAAACCAATAACAAAGTATATGTCATGATCTTGGCGCTGATGACTGGTTTAATTACTCATTTCATTCTCCAGTCTGTCTCTGCCCTGTTTCTAATTGCTGCTCATGTGATTTACCTGCTCCTGTCTCTATTTAAGCTGCCTGCTACCACTCATCAGCACCAGAATATGTAGTGGGAAGAGTGTGTCCATGGTTACCTTAGTGTTTCTGATTTTTGCCTCTCAACCTCTGAGCCCTCCTGTTCACATCTGATCTTTTTTTCTTACCTGCCTGCTGCCAGATGTCAGGCAAGATTATTCTTGAGCAAGTGGTGAGAGCGTTTCAGCCTTACCTCAGTGTTTCTTATTACCTAATCCACTGAGCCTGCCTGTTCCTGATTAATCTGTTTGCCTGAACTGTCTTTGGACTCCTGCCTGATCGCCAAATTTGGAGCTGCTTCCTGTCACCGACCTGGATTTCCCTTCGGAACCTGGGTTTTCGATTTGATGTGTTTTATTTGGAAATCTACTGGATCCTATGTGCATTTAACTTCCTGTTTGGTGCGATCTCATTGATGGGTTTTGACCAGGTTTTGACTCACGGCTATCTACTTCCACCCCATGGGACTTTAGAGACGAAAATTTGAAAAATATAAATGGAATATGAATGGAAGTCAAAGGGGAGAAAATAATTATCTTTTGGTCCCAGTCGTTCTCTGCCCTGGTTTCCAGATATTTTGAACGTGGATTTAAATGAAAAATTTTCATGCAAAGAAAAAAAAATGCTGCAAAGAACTTTGATTATTTCCAACCAGATTTTACTTAAAGCCACTTTATTTGTTTTGTTTTGTTTTTTCCCCAAGTTTTGTTAACATTTGTCCAAAGAACAATTCACATATGCAAATATATAAAATATAACATAAGACAAATATGAAATGACAAACAAAATTGATAAATTC